ACATGCAGGTGATAATCCAGAATCAATAATTCTGGTCCCTGCTGTCCTGTGAATGACCTGGGCCAACAGGGACCTGAACAGAAACACCACAAAAGCTCTCAGATCAAGTTCCTCAACTGACTGACACCACAGTGCTGCTTTCCTCTTGGTTTAGTGCTGATTCAAAAGGAGAAATATTCAATTAGAGGATCTGAAAAAGTCATTCCCCATCCAATACTCTAAGTCAAACAGCTTAATGCAAATTTAAAATTAATTTTCAGTGCTCACATTTCAGATACAAACACAGCAGAAACTAAAGGTTAATGCAGGGCTCTAATATCAATAATGCTGAAAAGAATTAGGGATTGCAGCACTGAATAAACCAGAACTAGCACCAATTTCATTCAAATAAAAGCCACTCTGCCCATTTCAGCTGTACTCACCAATTCCATCCAGTTCTACTGAATGAAAAGTTATGAATAACTTGCTTTAAGATCTTCATGTTTCTTTCCAGGGCTCAGGCAAATGCAACAACTCCAAATAAAACAAAAGGCTGAGGCTTTTATCACTTATTAATAACTGCAACCTCAGAAGAATACATTTTTCCCTGAAAAATGTTTTTTCTTCTATTGAAGGTTTCAGTCAGTTCTGATAAAAAGTTGTGAGGCTTTACAAAAAATCCTATGTAAAACTTATATTCCAGATCTTCGAGGCAAGCTTTCATAAAGAAAATCCCATTTCAAGAAAAATAAACAGGTATTTGATTTCCCCTTCTCTCAAGAGCACAAGCCCCTGATCCTTTCTTCAGTGAGTATTCATTCAATTCATCTGCTCATCAAAAAACAGGTTTGCAAGCTCTAGAGCTGCTGGTTGTATTGAAAGAGACACCCAATCTTCCCTAACTTCAGCCTCCACATAAAAACTACAATTTTCTCTTAAAAATAATCCCTCCAGTGAGGAGAGTTTAACAAAATTACCCACAGCAGAGGGGGAAAAACACCAGCGAGGTTTTGCTGGTTTTCAAAACCCACAAAAGCTGGTGTGCAGTAAAAGTAATTTATAATTAGCTTTTCAAACAGTCCTTGCCTTCAGCAGCCTGGGGGCAGCTCTGCTCCCTGCTCTGCCTGCCCAAGCTTCTCCCTGGCACAATCCTGTCCCTGTCCTTATATCCCTGGCCCAGGCCAGCCCCTGGGAGGAGCAATTGCCCAGGTCAGGTGGGTAAACACAATGTGGGCTGGCTTTCAGCTGCTCTGCACAGCCCAGGGCCCTTTACAGCACCAGGGGAGAATGAGGAAACTCTGAGTTGCAAAAAGGAGGGACTGGTGTTACACCTTCCCAGAGAAGTGATGGATATCACCAGGAAGGTTACAGCCTACAGAGGTAGAGATTTAGGCAAGTAAATATTGACTGCAGTATCTTAGAGTTAACTGGAAGAGCAATTAAAAAAAAACCTTTTTAAAGGTGCAAAAAGTCACGGAATGGTTTGTGTTAAAAGGACCTTAAAGCCCATCCAGTCCCACCTTCCACCATCTCAGGTGGCTCCAAGCCACACCCAAACTGCTCTTGGACACTTCCAAGGGGGGCAGCCACAGCTTCTTTGTGCCAGGCCCCCCCAAAAACAGGGACCATCACTTTGGTTAAACCTGGAATTCCTCACCTGGCCAAGACTCCATTTATTACAGAATGGTGCAGAAAGCAACACTTTATGCCACCCAGCCTACAAAATTAAAATGTTTATTTTCCCATTAAGCAGAAACCAGCCCTTATTTCCACATCTAACAACAGTCTAAAAGCAAACTTGCTTTCACTGAAAATGCCAGGGACCAAACACCAAAATTGAAAGTACAGGTTCAAACATCATCACCAAAGGAGGGAGAAAGCCTCCCTCAAATTTCACAGCACACAGAACAGTTCCTCTTCCTCCCCTTGTGGTGCCCAAAAGAATTTTTATTGAGTTGGAAATAAGAGAGTTGGCATTTTAGACACAAAACTATGGATTGCAGACCATGCCAACTTGGCAAAGCTGACCCCAGGATGGCAATCAAACAACATGAAAACCTCTAAGTATCAGGTAAAATACAAACAGTGCTGAATAGGCAGTGAAAAAAATGGAATCAGTAGAAAAGCCAAGTGGTTTTCTTTGCCACAGAAGGAGCACAGTGGCCCTGCTGGGATGAGTACTCACATAATCGTTTTAGGATTCTGCAGCATGCAGGCCTTTGGTCCAAACGTGGTCACTGGGCATGGTCCATGCAGGGAGCGTGTTCTCCTGGAGGCAGAGGAGATAATCAGTGAGGAGGAGAGAGGTGCTGACACTCGGGTCTGGCTGCTCAAACACCAAACCCTCTCTCCTCTGACCCAGCTGTACAAAAGCAACACAGGGCAAAGTGCATTTCTGAAACCTCTGTGAGAGCTTCCCAGGCAGGGCAATTTTACAGGTTGGCTCTCACAATTCCAACTGCCCAGCAGTTCCTCAGTCACAGCAGTTTCACTGCTGCAGGCACAAGAACAACACTTTTATTCAGTGTTTCTCTAAGCACTACATCTTATCTAAAAGCACATCTTTTAGAATGACTGAAGCTGGAATAAACACAGCTAAAAGAGCTCAGTGAGTGCTCTCCCCCCTCTCTAAGGGCAGTAATGTACATTGGGTTTTTGGGAATTAGGGGAAATGGAGTTTCCCAGTGTATGACTTGACAAGCATTTATAAGGAGCTCTCCAACACCTTCAGATGTTTTTGGCGTGGTCAAGTCACAGTGATGTGTGGCTTGGTCATTTAAATACCCTTAATGAATTAATCAAACAAATTCTTCAACTCTAAGGCACATGGAGATTTGTATTTGCAATATCAGGCTTCAATTTTGAACAGGTTGAAAAAAAATTGCTATTTCCCCCCATTTATTTCTCTAATAAAATCTTTAGGTGTCCTTTATCCTCAAACTTGAATCCCACCAGGACATAAATGGGGTTATTCCTGGCTCTAGGATGAGAATATCTGGAGAAAGTCAGAACTCTTCTGCCTCACCTCCCTGCCAAACTCCCCAGCAAAGCTGGAACTGAGAGCAAAACTTGCTCAAGTCATGGAACTGTTGAAGCATTATTTGACTGCTATTAGAATTATTCCATTATAAAGAAAGGGGAAACGTTCCTTTCCTGGTCTTAATTCAATCACATCTTGCTTGTAACAATCATCACTGCACAGCCTTCTATTGTGTGTTACAAAGTAGCTCAGTCCAGCCTGATGACTCACTCCTAGAGCTAAAAAAAACCCCTCAGAAATCTAATAAAAATCAAAACAAGTTAAACACATAATTAAGGAACAACAGCAACATCTTATTTGTCCCTTGCCTAATAAAATATGCCAATCTAAGATTTGAATTGCAATAACAAAACCAGAATAATTTCTTTTCCATCTGTAAATCCAGGCATGACTTACCAAGTCAGATAAGAGCATTACTAAGTGTTTTATAAAGTTTATCTTATTTATATTAAAACAGAAAAACAAGCAAGGACTGACATAACAAGAGATTAATGTGTGTGTCAATATGGGCAAAGGGATGATAAGTCTCTATCTACTTGTGAACAATTACCCTTGGCATTAGGATGGTTAAATAACAGCTTGGCAGCATCACCTCCCACTTCTTGCTCCACTCCAGCTTCCCCAGATAACTGTAATTTTTGCCTTCTCCCAACACAGGTCATTATTTGAAGCCACTCCCAGTAATTGGTCAAATTCTGTTCCCACATGAGACATTAAATATCCATGTCTGACCCTCATGACATTCCAAAAGTTCTCCCTACAAAGCCTAATTACTAACTGCTGTAATTTTCCCCCGATATTTCACTCGGTTTTATTGGTGCTCAATAAAGTGCCTGAGTAAACAGAATTTCAAGCCATTCATAGTCAGGCTGCCTTTGCTAAGAATGAGCAGCAATGCCCTGGAAATGATACATCTTCTAGGGAAATCCACTTATCAGTTCCCAGCAGCTGGGCAGATACCTGGAGCTGAACATCACAGAGGAAGGCTGAGAGCAGCACTTCCTGAGGGCCTGCAAAATGCCAGGAGACAATTCAGAAGTGAAACCAGCCAGTGAATGACTGCAGAGCATCCTAATGAAGGCAAATCTCAGAAGCAATTACCCTGATTCAAACCCACAATGGACATGGCACTCGTGGTTGAAAAAGCAGCTGTTTAGCTAGAAAATAATGCCCAAAAATTTAGAGCACGTGGTCTTCTATGCAGATTGACTGAAAGGTTTGAGTAGAGAAGGGAAAAGCACCAGTTCTACAGCATAACTGAAATATCAAGTCTTACATACTGATCACACACAGGTGACCAGAGCTACAACACACCACAGCCTTCAAAAAAAAATAAAACAGACAAAAAAAAAAAAAAAAGACTTCCTCAGAAGCATCAACTACACTGAACTACAAACACAGAGCAGCTATTTTCCCCAGGCTTTCAAGGCTTTTAGTTTGCCTCCCTTCACCACAAAGCCGCCCCCTGTGCTCTCCAGCCTCACCCGTGTGTGCTCTTGCCTCCCAAGAACATTCCTACCAGCAAAGCAGGAGCCCTGAACAGAAATTCCATCTGCTGAGCAGCTCCCTCGTGGCTCTGCCCATGCTTTGGGGACAGTCACAGCACAGGGAAGGTGAAGTCCTGCTGTGCCTCCCACAAGATCGAGACACGGCGTTGCCCCTGCCCACTGTTCAATATTTACAGTGGGTCCAAAGATCAGAAGTTCCACCCACCCTGTCCACATGACAGGAGCCTTGCAATGAGATCAGAAATTTGGCTCCAAAAAAAGAACTGGTGTTTCTCACTGCTCTGAAACCATCTGCAAACACAAACTTACTTTTTGCTGCCTCACACTTAACCTAACACACAGCACTAAAGCTCTTATTTGTTATTGAGCTTTTATTTCTTATTGAGCTTTTGTAAAAGTCTGAAGAATTGTCTCTAGTGTTGCCTGATTATTTTTTGTGAGACTGTGAGCTCTGCAGACACCTGTTTTGACAAGCCATGAAACTTTGATTCTGAGTCTGCTCTTAGTCAACACCCCACCCTCAACTCCCCCTCTTCATTGTGAATTCACCTTCCGAGGCGCATTTTAAGAATCCCTCGCGGCCGTATTAAAAAAAACATTAAAATCCAGTTAAACTTCATAAATTTTAACAACAAGGGGAAGACACAGGGGCCTCTCACCTGAATTCTTTGGTGCTTCCAAGGGCTGGTGAAGCCGACAAACTCCGTGACTTGGCTCGGCCCCGGCTCGTGCTGCCCCAGTCCTCATCGCTGTGACACGCCGAGCAGTGGTAGGCAGAGTCTGAGCTCCCATCAGCCTTGCTGGCACACAGCTTCTCCCGACTCATCTCCATGCTGGAGCTGAAGGAACCTCAGCCAGACAGAAATTCAATCCCTGCAGAGGAGAGGGAGAGGCAAAAAAAAATCAAAAAAAAAAATCTCAGCGTTCGCAAAGGTAACGGAGCTCTCCTTTAAATTCCAATTATGGCTTCAGCCGGCTCAAAGGAAAACAGAAGCTTTGTAACACAATCCCTCTTCTCTCAGTAGATAACAGGCTGAACGTGAAAAAATTACTGGAGTTGTGTTCAACATCAAGAAACTCCTGGAACTGCTCAGAAGATGAGCTGGTGCTTTGAGGCACTCCCCTGCTTCCTGCAGCTCCTGCTCTGTGGTCAGCGCTGCTGACCAAGGGCCCCCACAGTCATTTTTAAATTAAATTAAAGTGCTTCAAAATCCCTGCAAGAAAAGCTGGAGGAGCATGATACACTAAACACAGAGTTCACACACGCTAATAAAGAATTCTCCAAAGAATCTGGGAAGGTCTTCAAGGTAATCAGAAGTTCCTGGAATTAAAAATGACCAGAGTGTTCCCAGACTGAAAAGAGGCTCAGTAGAAAGTTGTTTCAAGACCAGCATAGATTTGTGTCTTCAGTTACATAAGAGATAAAATTAATTTCTTTTAGATATTGAAAAGAAAGAAAAGCTTTAAATATGAGCTAAGGAATCAAGACTCAGGAAAGACTATAAAGTCTCCTATAAGGTGATACATATATCAAACACATAAAATAGAATATTCTAAGAGCAAAAAACCACCAAACCCTGTCAGATAATGCAACAGAAATAACCTTAATAAGCCTCAGCGTTTGAAAAAAAAAAGGTTAATACCAAGCTGAGGAGAGACAAAAACAAGCTGGAGGACAATACCTAAGTCCTTAACTCATTTTTGACAAACTGGGGAGATGATCCAAAACAAACAGGACAAAATAAGGACAAATGTGCAGTATTTCAGTTCCACGAACAACCAGCACAAATGAAAGATAAACAGTTGGTTAGAGCACAGCTTTGCAGAAGTAAAAAAAAAAAACCAAACCCCAAACTTGAAATAACTGTAGAGATCTTGTGGGCAAGTTCTCATCATTACTCAAAGCAAGCAGAGAAGAAGCCTTATCAGAATAAAAATAGAAACCAACTTTCAGTGTATGAATAAACACTAAACCATAAACAAATAGTATCCATGTGAGAGCAACCCAGAGGAACAGCACATTCCTCAAGTCAGTTGATTCCAACACAGGGGGAAAAGATGATTCAGTAAAAACTTGCAGATTTTTTTTCCAACAGTTTCATTGCTCTGGATGAAGCTCCCACCTCATCCTGCAGAGAAAGGAACTAAACATTGGTCCATTAAAATGGACTTCCTTGTGGGAAATCATCACACAAGGAAAATATCTGCAGGGAAAGTCCCCAGAGAATGGCAAACCCCATAATTTCACCAGAACCCCAATTCGCAGACAACAAAACCATAAAATAAAAAAAAATCAGCTGTAATTTTAGACTCATTACTAAATTAGACAGCACCACCACCTAATCAAATTAGAAAGTGCTTTTGCTCCTGCTGTAGTTTAGGCTTACCCGAGGAGAGCATCACTACAAAGAGGTGCAATTACTGCCAGCCGTTAATGATTTATAGCATCCTGCCCTTGAAAGGTATCAATGTTTAACTGGGTTACTCACTGCTGTGTCACCTGTGACCACAGCTTGGGAAACAGCCATTGCAACAGCCTTGTCATCTCGTCCAGCTAAGACTGGCAAAAATGTACCTCTATTTTTAGACAATTCCAGCTGATATATAAATTTTGTGCCCGTTAGTTGAGCTAGGGAGGCAGAGAACAATAATTTATGTAATAAGCAAGATGTGTTTCCATGTGACTTTGACTGAAGAATGTTCATCTGACAGATGCTGACAGCAAAGAAAATCAGATTAGCACAAAACTGGAAATAAGAAGTGTACAGACATACTAAATACAGCCTAAGAACTTGATATTGCCTCCATGTAATACCTTCCAATTCAGGATGTTTTAGCTACAGCTTACACCACGGACTGTTTAATTAACATTCCCTCACAAGACCTTTATTGAATAAGCAGACTTGACATAAGACAAAACTTCCACTGAACAGCTTCCAGGATTGGATCCAAAAAACTTTTAAGCACATGGTAACAAAGTAATGAAAAGGCTGCTCTGTTTTAAATCATGTCCAAAATTAAAACAACACAAGAAAAATAAGTATTAAAACATCCAGCACTGCAGAATGATGGACAATTAAGAACATGTCAATATCTAACAATAAATATCTGTGATGGTGACACTGCAGTCAGGTGAATCACCTCACACATGGATCCAACTCCAGGTTTATTGTAGTTTCCCAGTTTTAATTTCACTGAACGTTTCCCTGAACCAGAACTTCCCAAGGGTTTCATGAAACCATCTTTACACAACCCCATGACATCCCCCAAAGGAGCTGCAAGGCTGCAAATCACCAAGGGATCGAATTTTATTTTATAACGACCACGCTTGTAAGCTGTTCTTTCGTAACAAACTTTTCCTGTTAAGTGTCTGCCCTAAATCATCCTGGTTAAAGGATTATTGCAGGGTCCACTCTGACAAAGTCCTCACAGTGCTTTAACCCCCCTCCAAGGCTGCTGCATTTATACTGATTTCTTAGAGATTATATCAGTAATTCTAAACTCATTTTGTTCTTTATTATCGACTTTCTCTTGGGGCATAAGAGGACAATGTTCTGCCCAAAACTGCACCTCTTGTCCCACTGCTGCAGAGCGCTGTGTGCTTGGTCACTCTGCACTGTGGAGCTTTCTTTTGTTGTATTTTGCTGAATAAAGCACTCCAGCAGAGGTTACATGCCCATGACTCCATCCCGAAGGCACTAAACCCCCTCTCACACACACACACAAAAAAAGAAGGAACAACTACATCAGACAGACAAAGCTTGGTTTAGTTTAGAACTTCATGTTCTAGTGTGCCTGCAGAAAATCAAAACCCCTATTAAAACCCAGCAAGTTACAATTTTAGGTTTTGATTACACACCCAGATGCTATTTCCACCAAAAAACCAGGCAGTGTGACCATCACGTGTGCAAGGCCCAGGCAAAACAAGTCCATTTGTTAACCCTTCCCCTCCGGAGCCCCAACACGGACGGGACAAAGCCAGGGTGGGACCCTCGGGGGACAAACAGCGGGGCCGGCCCGGTGTCCATCCCTGCGGGAAATGTTCCCCGGCCTCGGGGCTGCCCCGGCGATCACCCCGGGCTCTGCCGGAGCCACCGAGGGACCGGGATGGGGGAATGCGGCCACTTGGGACCTGAGCGGGGCCAGGGACCGGGCAGGGCACACAGGGACATGCACCGAGGATGGGGACAGAGGGACACGCACCGGGGATGGCACCGGGAGGGGATAGAGGGACACGCACCGGGGATGGGCACTGGAGATGGGGACACAGGGACACGCACCGGGGATGGAGACAGAGCGAGACGCACCGGGGATGGGCACCGGGAGGGGAGACACAGGGACACGCACCGAGGATGGGGACCGGGAGAGGGGACACAGGGACACGCACCGGGGACGGGCACCGAGGGACATGCACCGGGGATGGGCACCAGGAGGGGACACAGGGACAAGCACCGGGGATGGCACCGGGAGAGGGGACACAGGGACGGACACAGGGACAGGCACCGCGGACACACACGCGCACCGCAGACACGCGCACCGCTCCCCCCTCAGGGCCGCCCGGCCGGGCCGCGCTGCCCCGCGGGCCGCCCTGCGCTGCTCCCCCGGGGCCCCGACTCACGGCGTGGCTCAGGGCCGGGCCCCGCGGCGCTGCTGGCGGCGCTGGGCGCTGTGAGGGGCGCGGGGCCGCCGGGCCCTGCGCGCCTCCATCGTCCCCTCCCCGCCGCCCCCGCGCAGGCGCGGTTCGGCCGCGGGCCCGGTGCGCAGGCGCGGGCGGTGCGGCTGCGCGGGGCCGCCTCCGGCCCGCGGGGTAATTAGCGCTAATTAGCGGCAATTAGCCACGGAGGAGCTGGGTGGGCTGGGGGTGTGTAGCGGCCGCATGAGTGGCCGGCATCGTATCGGGTTATACCCGCGTTAGAGGCGCCACTGGGGGACGGGGGCATCGGATACGTTCAAGCAGCCCACACCCCTCACACCACACCACACCACCCCATCTCCACATTCCAGCCATCGCACACCATCGCACCCTATCTCACCCTTCCAACCATCCCTCACCTCCAGCCATCGCACACCTCTCACACCACCCCACACTCTCCAAACCATCACACCTCCAAATTCCAGCATCTCACACCCCTCATACCACCCCACACCCTCCGAACCATCGCACCTCCAAATTCCAGCATCTCACACCCCTCATACCACCCCACACCCCCCGGACCATCACACCTCCAAATTCCAGTATCTCACACCATCTCACCCTTCCAACTATCCCTCACCAGCCATCCCTCACCCCGAACACATCCCGAATACCCCTAAATTCCGAGCATTTCTCAGCTCCA